CAAAAAAAAAAAAAAAAACACCCCATCATTCTTGTTCATCTGATTTCAAATTGCGCAATGTAAAAACATGAATTACCTACTATTTATGGAATGATTATTCAAACTTTTCATTTAAAAGAGGGAAAGAGTTAAACTGAGAGAACATGGGGTACCTGAGTATTATCTTCATTTGGTCCAGACATGAGTTATAAAGCAGTTAGGAAATGATAGCTCCCAATTCAAAATTCAGTTAGAGCCGCAGGAATTTACCGATCACGCAGCAAGCTGGTAAAATATATTCAATTAATTATTAAATCTCATCAAAATAGAAAAAACAAAGTCCAAATACACTAAACAGCAATAAACACATAATAAACACAAATTCATCAGTAAAGAGAATCAATCAGTTCAGCAACAACGATTATCAACCTTAATAAGTCATTCAGTAATTATTTTAATTATGAAATGATAAATTCCATCAAATTTAATACGCCAATTGTTGTCATCACGGACTTTAGATTCTCTAAGCTCAGAAAATGCAGATTGAATTCGAAACTTTCAGATATCTTCAGCTGAATCTTACAAAGAAAAAATTACTTAATTATGTAAATCGATCAATAATTTAGGCTCACAAACATTAATTCAATCGTCGATCCACGGTGCAAAAATTCACATATTTGAAAACAAAAAGACCGATCTCAGCTTACGATTGAGAGAGAGAGAGAGCTTACGCGTTGGGAATCGATTCTGCGCTCGACCGAGAGAGAGAGCGCTCCTTTATTTCTCGATTCGACTCCCCAGCGACGGAGGAGAAAGGTTCGAATCCTGTGCATGAATTACACAGGACGCATCCACGTGGAGAACATCAGTGTCTGGAATATTATCATTCGAAATCACAACCGTGACTCCAAAGATTTTCAGGCACGATCCCCAGCTGGGCCACTGGATCGCACCGGCCTACTTTTTGTGGGCCAATTGATGGCATGTTTCCTTGGGCCTATGGCCCACAGAAAGCCCACTGTTTCATTTTGCACTGTGATATGCCATAAGTTACATGCGGATAAGATTGAAGGGGCCATACAATGACCCCTAAGCTGCCTGAATCTATTCTCCCTTGGTAAGAGAATTTCCTTTCACATTTTTTTCTATCAAATTTTCCTTCCTTATTAAGAAAAAAAGAGCAGAGTGTATTCCATATTACATAAGTAATTCTCCATCCCTAATTATTTGTTTTTTTCTCTTTTATTTTTACTTATGTATAAAGAAAACATATATAATTTTAAAAAATATATAAAAAAAAGAGGAATAAAGAAATTGGACGAAAAAAATAAATTTATAATTATTTAATAAATAAATTATTTAACCTTCAATTAAATTGTTTGCCATTTTTAAGACTTAGGAGACATCTTTTGTCTAATTGATAGGATAACAACAAAAGAAGTCATCATATTATTTTATTCCTAATTAAACAAAAAGTCTTATGATGTTGTATGAAAACATTTAATTTATCATGATGGTGTTGGATTTGTTTTCTTTATAGGGAAAAAAAAAATTCACGTGTGATGTTTTATTTACCATACTATTTGTCAAAAGTCTTTTTTAACTAATTACTATTTCTAGTAGTAATAATTTGAGTTCCAAATTATTGATGTAAATGAGGCTAAGGAATCCAAAAGAAAGAAACAACAAAAGGAGCTAGCATTGTCAGAGCACACTGAATTTGGACTTGTGTTCATATCAGTCATATCATTCCCCTTCCTCAAAAATTGACATAAAAATAAAACAAAGCAACGCTATAGATGTTCGATTTTGATTGTTAATTTATTATTTTTTAAAAAAATTTATTTTATCTGATAAAATCAAATTGAATAATTATTTTATTATATAACAGTGTAGATGTTCGATTTTAATTATTTATTTATTATTTTTTTAAAAAAATTATTTTACTCAATAAAAACAAATTGAATAGTTATATTATTATACAATAGTGTAGATGTTCAATTTTGACTACTAATTTATTATATTTTAAAAAAATTGTCTTACCTAATAAAAACAGATTGGATAGTTATATTATTATATAATAGTGTAGATGCTCAATTTTGATTATTAATTTTTTTTTTAAAAAAAATTGTTTTACCTGATAAAAACAAATTAAATAGTTATATCATTATGAACAGTAATAAAAAATAATGGGAACAAGTAGTAAAATTTAAAAAACGCTAATAAAAATAATAAGACAAGTAACAAAATTTACGAGTTAGTTTTCTTTTACTGGACGTTGGTCCTACGACCTTCATTATTTGGTGGATATTGTTATTACGCGATTAAAAGTCATACGTTTCATACGATGAAGGAAGATATAAAACCATGGAGATGGACAGCCTTGAGCTGCAGCGGGCTCTCGATTCCACCATCCATGGAGCCTTCTTCAAGTTCACAACCACCGGCCGAGCTCGTCT